TCTAAGCCACTGTCACTCATGATGTCAAATCGTGCCCAAGTAGGAAAGCAAAAGGTGGAATCCGACAAGACAAACTACTCCTGATTTAAGTGGACTTTCAGGTGGAGCTGCGAGAACAGTGTCCATTGCTTTCACAAATAGTGGATAGTTATATGTTACCATCACATTAAACAGACAGATTTTTATTCCTTCTTTTTGCAGCGTGTTGTAGTGAGGTGAATGTTGTGGAAACATTACCTGTGAAACATATTTTTTGAACACGCTCGTTCCATGCAGTCTCTCCTACTACAAGGAAGTAGAATATCTATTCCCGGCCATCCACAAGTACTCTTCAGAACAATGTTTATTTCACGCAAATTTGTTAATAAACATGAATGTTTTATGTCTCAAGAATGACAGAAATATAAGCTTCTTTTTAAATAATTATGTTCAGCAGTATTAGCACTCATCATTTCCAAGGGAATTTCATAAACGTTGATAATAGACAGTGATGTTAGCGTAGCCTTGTTTGTGAGGTTGTTTGTAACTTGATAGTTTTGTCTTTCCAAGTGCACTTATGTCTGCCGCTCAGTAGGAAATTGTTGTAGGAACTGGTTTTTCTGCTGGAACTGCTGATGCAGGAGTCATGCATACAATTCCACCCATTGCATAGAAGTTTGGTGGACATCCAGGGTATTAATGTTATGGTCTGCGTTATCAGAGACAAGTTGCACATATGTGTTGTCTTCCACAGTAGCTTGTGCGGGCATCGTTACCGCCGAGTCATACCTAACTGCTTCATTGTAAGTGAGAAAATCCCTCAAGTTTGACAAGAAATCAATAAGAATTTTGGATTCAAGTCTTTGATGGAGGTAAACGTTGAGGCCAGTTAGAAGAGGCGAAACAAATGATCTCGGCTGAAGCCCAGTAATAACGTCATGTTAAATACATACCGATTTTCTTTCAGTTTTAATTTCCTCCGTGAGATGTTTCTCTATTTTCGAAGTCAGTAGAGTATGTGTAAATAGCCATTCTCCTTCAAGATGGTCATTCTAGTATTGAATTTCTTCAATGGGGGAAAAGTGACACACAATTTTTTTTATACAAGAGTTCTTACATTTTAATACAGCACTAGCACGCATAGCATTTCGAGCAGGTCCTTAATCCTATGTTCCCCGGAAAACGACCCACCAAATCGTTTAACAACCAGGTACCCGTTTTACTGTTGGGTAAACAGAGACTACAGTTAATGATTTGCGCCCACTAAATCCTCCCCAGCCAGGATACGAACCAAGGTCAAAGCGCTCGCGAAACGCCAGGCGAGTGTCTTATCCCTTCACCAAGGGGACTGGTACATTCATAATGATGTATAAAAACTTAACGTCTACTCAAATTAGCTGCAGTTATTATTATCCTTCTTCGTTCTTCCGATTCGTTTGTTTTCCTTATAGTGTACCACTTGTCAGTGAATATTTTATTCAGCATCCTAGAAAAATAAATAACACCTGTACACCCAGAAATCACAATATCGTGATATATCAAATGAACAAATCCACAAAGGCCGTGAATAGAATTCGAACCTACGACCGGGATGATCCCAGACGTGCCTTAGTCGACTACGCCACGACATGGTAAAAAAATTGCAACCTAGAGTGCTACTGCCCTCACGAGGATCCCGCAGATTCTCCGAAGTACAAACTCCATGTTGCAATTCTTTTACCATGTCGTGGCGCAGTCGACTAAAGCGCGTCTGGCATCATCCCGGACGTAGATTCGAACCCTCATCACTGCCCTTGTGGATTTGTTCAAATAACACCTGGTTTGTCTGGCAACTGCGATACACATATTTTCATCATATTTGTTAATATGTTTCCATTTCAAATGAATCTAACTGTAAGGTGGAGAAAATGGGTCTATTTCAACTGGTTTTTTAATTAGTTAATTTATTGTAAGCTGGCACTCATCGTTGGGTTCTATAAATTCTCGCAACTCTTGAAAAATTGTTTTCGTTTGCTTTGTTTGCGTCTGCTCTCTACCGCTGTTCCAGGCTTACAGACTCTAGGGACCCGAGAACACTGGTAGCAGGACCGGTGATAGAGACCCTCCTTAGTGACTAGGTCTATCACCCCAGATAGTGTTATCACATCCCCCGAGCACAACTCCACTCTCCCTATTTTCAGCCACTTACTGAATTGTAACAATAATGTGCAAGGTTGACACTGCACGCCACTCCTCCTTCGTAGGGTTACAAAGTGTCGTAGTATCTACACAACTGCGACCGCAAAATAGAAATTCATCTTAAAGTTAACAGATTGTGAAACTTTTCGTGGTGAAGACGGTGACTTCAGTTGATGTGGATGCCTTTTTTTCCTTGTATAATCTTTCCGGCAAAGAACATGAACAACGATTTGCTCACAACCTTCAAGTTCTTTCTCCAGTTCATCTTTCCTTAACTTCCTCAATACAATTATTGAGTTTGCTTTTGTTTTGTTTTTTAGTTACACTGTTTCGCCTCCATGTTGCAGACACAGACGAAGAAGGCAATGTTCCATTTTCACACTACAATCACTGCAAAAAGATAATATTTTTAAATTAATTCGTGTTTTAGTAGTAAAAACCAAACAAATAAAATATTTATAAATTAATCATATAATCATTTTTTTAAGCTTAGTATCGCAAAGTTAATATTAACTTCTTGCATTTATAGTAAACCCCTTTAAACAAAAAACATTTTACAAAAAATCAGGTCTGAAAATCTATAATCTTTGCACAATGACAGTTCCTGTGAAAGTGTGTCAACAATCCGTGACGGTGCCCTGTTGAAATTAATTAACTGGCCCATTGTCACCGCGATATTGTAAGCTCAGTGGCTCAGCGCTTGAATGGTGAGCACGCCTGAACACAAGACCTTCCACACCTTCACATTCAACTTATAGAAGTATAACTGTATATGATATCTACAGTACCTTATACGCTCTGCAGCTTTCATTCAACAACATTTTTTTAAATAATTCATTGTTTACGCTTTATTGAAGAAAAACGTAACGTTTTGAGCAGAAAAGGTTGCAAAAATAATTTCCTAATCATAAAATTAAGCAAAAAGATTGATTAATGGTCAACAATATTCTGTTACGATTAAAGAGCATTCACTTAAAAGCATTTTAAAACAAGAATCATCCTTCCAAGTTTATTACTTCGTCTGTAATAGGTTTTTTCGTAAACATTCCAAAAATCCAATATGGCAAACTTTTTTCAAAATGGCGGAAAACCCCACAACTGTATTTTTGGGGGACTTTTTTCGTGGACGATCCTGAGACCAGCCAAAATAAATTCCAACCTATCCCAGTTTGTTATTTTGAATGTCTAGGTTCATTCTGTTTTGAGCCTAATTTGACTGTACTGGTATATAATTGTACAAAAACCAGGTAGTGATAACTAAAATTAAGAAATGATAACCACATTATGCTGGGGGATCAAATTATGACGATAACTGCACTTTAAAGGTAAAAAAAAACAGTGAATAGCAAAAATAAGACAAAAAATCTACTGGAAATTACTGAAAGTGACAATCTAGATTTTACCATGACGGAAGCTAAATCAGTCTGTTAGTTATAAAACTTCATATGACGGCTTGACAATTGGAGGCGCCACTGTACTGTACAATACTGTATTGTACAATACTGTACTGTACTGTACTGTACTGTATTGTACAATATTGTACTGTACTGTACTGTACTGTACTTGGTACTAGTATCTGAATACCACCAAAATGGCTAATTGTGGTGCCAGTACCAACACGTCGTTTATTACCGATAATACACAGCTCGAGTTGCCTACCAGTCTCCTTCAATTTAAGAACTGTACATCTGCCTAAAATCCATATATGAATAAATTCAATAACATTATTTCAATCAGATTCATATATAACAGATTTTACGTTTGGTTTGGAGTTAGACTTAATGTCTTTCATCCTCTGGAGGATAATTAAGGCTACCACAAGTGCTTACTGACCAACCAGCAAGTAAAATTTAGTTCTGGATGTAGTCCAGTGCTACAGAAAAACTCTCAATGTGTATACAGAAACGTGCTACACCTCACGATGTATTTCACGTTTCAGTTCTGTATGCAGTTATAGTATATTCGATGCAGTATAACGTACTGTACATTCGAAGATTTCGTGGAAATTGTATTCTGCTTCTGGCACTTGTGTTAGCACTAGAGACACTGTTATTCAATAGCTTCGAGCACTTGAGTTAGCACTAGAGACAGTTAGGTCAACAGCTTCTGGCACTTGTGCTGGAACTAGAGACACTGTTAGGTCAACAGCTTCTAGCCCTTGCACTAGTGGTACTTAGTTCAACAGCTATCGTCAAACTACGAGCGTCTTTATCATATTTGTGTGTGTGTGTGTGTGTGTGTGTTAACCCTAATAATACATCGCATTATGACGTATAATTTCCCTGAGGCCTAAAACTTTTGTACTAAAAACAGCTCGCCAAATTTCCGTATGTCCCTTCTCCTGTTCGTGGGTCCTCCGACAGGTTATGCTCAGGCAATTTAGTTCAGCATTTTAGTGACGTTACGAACACCATGGAGAACGGGTTTGTTTACTTGAGATAATATGCACTGACATGTACTGACTGGGTCACGGCAGTAATATGTTGTCTTTGAGATCACTCAGTCCTGTGATGCTGGCTGCAGCTGCCTGTCTCTCATAAATTGTTTATTTTGGTTTAATGTTATTCTTCCATTAATTAGATAAGTAATGAATAAAATGTTAAATTAGAACTTGTAATTTAAGCCACGGGAGATAACATTACTATATAGTGGAGTGCAATAACTGCATTGATAATTAATGCACTAACAGCCAGATATGATGTCATCAATGTCACTAATAAACCGCAAAGATTATTATTTTGACTTACTGTATATAATAATTATTGCGGACCTCATAATTAGATTGTGAATTGAACAAATGTATCATGTAATCCTTGTAACAGTTCAACTTTGTAAAATTTCAGAGGTACTATGCCAATGAATCGTTTTACAAGCCTGGTGGACCAGTCTTCCTGATGATTGGGGGTGAAGGGCCTGCCAATTCGGCGTGGATGCAGGAGGGAGCTTGGATTACATATGCCGAAGATGTTAATGCCTATCTACTCTACTTGGAGCATAGATTCTATGGCAAAAGCCATCCCACTGAGTAAGATTTTTATGTACTGTACAGCATTTGTTATGTTATGAGTTTCCTTTTATTGTAGCTGCTATTAACCTATTTTTTATAGTTAGGTCTATCCCCAATAAAAAAATATAATTAAATATTTTTCTCTTGGAACTGGTAGTTATGTGAACAAATATTTAAAAATATAATGAAATAATTTCCTTACCATAGTGTGGTTTGCTGTGTTAACAAATTCATGCTCAAAAAATTATGTCACTTTTATTTTAAACTTAATAATTAGAGTTTTCTGAATTGTCACACTGAGTTGTCAGAGTGAGGCAGGATGGTAGGCTACTCACTGCAGATAGAGTTGTCAGAGTGAGGCAGGATGGTAGGCTACTCACTGCAGATAGAGTTGTCAGAGTGAGGCAGGATGGTAGGCTACTCACTGCAGATAGAGTGGTATTTTTAAATGACACTAATTGGGAAAAGCTCAGTTCAGAGAAACATTCATAAGGACTGTAAGATCTACTGTATCCTCGCCTGGCATCACGACTGACTGCCAAATGATGGATCGTTTGCTAGCCTGGCCAGTCTCGTTAACTACCACCAGGTGGTAGCAGCATGCTCCAGCCCGTTCTCGCGGGAGTTCCCAACGTCAAGAAACTGTCGTGCTAAAGTGCCTTATCCTAGCCTACCATAGGACCTATGGACAGAAAATGATACATTATGTCAATTTCGCAAGCCGCTACCATTTTCTTGTACGACAGTTTTACGACCTTAGGTAAAGTATACGTCACGAAGTAATCAAAGGCTTTGCCAGACTTGTGGCTTTATTGATCAAATATTTCCAGTTCATAATCTATTCATAATGCCAGTTGCTGACGCTGCCTAAGATAACAACCCACAAAAGTTGCCTAACTTCCAAGTACTTATTTACTGCTAAGCGAACAGATCCATCAGGTGAAAGGAAACGTGTCCAGCCATCTCCGTCCCACCTCAGATTCGAACTCAGGATCCTCGGTCGTAAATCGATGGCTAAATCACTGTTCTACAAGACTCGTGTATATTATGTCTGTATGATTTCTTCCTTCATTTCCAAATTTTAAGAAACTTTCAAAGCTGAACATGCGTGGTTGGCAGCCGTCCGCCCCGCTTGTGTCCAGACACTGGCACTCGTAGGCGCCAAGTATCTCAAGGTTCGGTGGCTTATTACTCTGGAACTACTAAACAATGTGATCTCATATTTTGAGACATGATAAGGAAGTGTGTTAGCCATGCTTGGTGGTGTTTTCACGTCTGTGTACCTCGGAGGAACACACGGTCACACCTTCAATTGGCAGCTGTTCATCTGGTCCGTGAAGCAACTTTTAGCCGGTCAGCTTCCATGTGTCGTTTATATCTCTCGTATTTCTGGAGGATTCTCATGAACTCCTCTGTCCTTGGATGAGGAGGAAATACCATCCTGGAGTCGGAATATGTATGGCAATTATTGTATGCATAGTGTTCCTTAGCAATACCCAACACCCACTGCACCACCTCCTCAAGGAAGACAAAGGGTTAGCTAGCCGCAAGGAAGTCTTGCTGTTGTCTGAGGTGTCAACCGTAAGAGCTGAAGTGAGCATTTCTCCAGTGTCTCCCCAGCACCAGTGCAGTATGACCAGGTAGAGGGAATTTGGAAATATCACTGCTACGTTGGTACGAATGTCTACCAACCCTGACGTCTTTAGCCCTTGTTACTGAAACCAGAAAGACCTTGTCTCAGGGAGCAACTAAGTAGATTAGCTCAGCAAGAACATTTAGAACCTCTTAACTCTTCTTTTTTCCCTCCATGTACATGTAAATGCAAATTGTCAGATCATATGTGGAGTTGATCCGTTATAGCCGCTTTTAACCACAATTTACTTTTTATTTTCCTCACAGTGGTATTTTGGTAATTACAGATTAGGTTGTCATAGATGAATAAATGTTGAAGAATGGTTGATTTAATCCAACAATGGTAGCTAGTTTCTATTCGTCAATCTACGCCTCTTGATCAATCATTATATTTTGGAAAACGACAACTGAAATTTTTATGGTATATCCTGTTTTGTTTTTTCAGGGATGTTTCAGTAGAAAATCTGGAATACTTGAGCAGCGAACAAGCCCTTGCAGATTTGGCAGTCTTTACTGTAAGCATGCAAGAAAGTCTAGATTTAAAAGAAAATAAATGGATAGCATTTGGTGGATCGTATCCAGGATCTCTAGCAGCCTGGTACCGCTTGAAGTATCCACATCTGGTACACGGAGCTGTTGCTACAAGTGCTCCAATTCTGGCTCAGGTTAATTTTCTAGGTGAGTTGTTCTTTCCTGTAGTTTTTTTGTCGTCTAATAATGCAAAAACTTAAAGGCCATTTACATTCAGAATTATTATTTCTTTCAAATAGTATTTCATCATAAAAATTCAACTTTTCTACCAATCAGAAGTGATTTTCGTGTTACACAAACTTGGTTTTATTCTCATGATTTTCCAATATGAGTGACCCGCACGCATTAAGCACTTATAAAGTTTGCACAACTAACGTCACTCTTGTTGTTGATGTTACGAAGTGTCATCAGTTTTTTCTATTCATATAGAGGATGAACAGTGTACGATAAGGAAACACAGCTAGGTGACAGCAGTTTGTACAGATGGATTTAATTTTGGACATGCTTGTATATGACTCACAAGGAGGACTAAGCAATATTCCTCCGAGGTGATGGGGTGCTGATATGAATGATTTTGTGGAGTATTGGTGCTGATTCACAATGATGTTGTGTAGTGCGTAATATATTTTTAGTGGATGCGTGTCACTCGTTATTTTTGTACAAATCTTTGCCTACACTTCTTCCCGCGTATGAAGGAAGCAGTGTAGACTAACACTGCTCTAGACTAACGCCAGCCCAGCCTGTCAAAGATGGTATGGTGTAACTATAATTTTAGAGGCGTTTTATGTAGCCGTCCTTGTTTGAATTGCATATGACATTATCGGACCATATTACATCAAAATAGATAAGTTTTCACTTGTATTTAATTCTTTTGTAACATATCAAGGATGCCTAGGAAATATTTTCTTTCAGAATATCTGGAAGTGGTTCGGGATTCTCTTGCAACATATGGAGAAGTTTGCAATTCAGAGATCAAGGAAGCGCATCGTCAGCTCCATACGCTGCTTCAGGACAACACAGGATGGAACAGCATCACCGAGGAGTTTAGGTAAACATGTTTTGTTGAGTCAACTCCGGGCACTGAAAGTTTTGTTTGTAAATTGATTATTGATTTGTAATTTGTGCAGAAGTTGAGAGTAGAGGAAGTCAGTGAAGGCAAGTGGCTTGTACAGGGAGACCTCGTGATGAGGAAGACCAAGGTAGGAAGAGTATGAGCATGAGAAGTAAAGTATCAGAACAATAGAAAGGAACAGTCTAGTATGAATGTGTTGAGTGAGAAGGATAGAGTAAGAAGTCAAAATGGAATGATATAGGGTACTAAAGGCAAAAAAATTAAAGTGTGCGGAGAGTATATTGATATGGCTTAGTTATGCTGAATGCGCGGATTGAAATAGTTGAGAATTGAGTACGAATAGTTGTACTCGATTGTTTGTGAATTGAAGGGGAAAGGAACGTCAAGAATAAGATGGACAAACAGGGTGAGTAAAGCTTTAGGGATTTAGTGTGAACAATGTGAGATGTAATAAAAAAATAGGTTTATATAAAATGAAGTTGTTAAGAAGAAGTGAAAAACCTATTTTGAGCTCTCACTATTGCGGGCTTATTTTTAAGTAAGATTCTGATGTGTTCTTGGATTTGGTCAAGCAGTTATGCAAGGGAACTTTTTGGCATCCATGCAACAATGAGCAACTGGAGGATATTAATTCTTGCTGAAAAAATATTATTGGAAAATGTTAAAAGATTTGTAAATGGAGGGGCACCTCCGTCGCAATTTTGTCAGAGTCAGAGGTTTTGTGATAGCCAGAGGGCTAGATCCTTGCTGGTGTACCAGGTACTGTCAAACTTGGGACCCCACAAAGACAAGTAACTTTTCAATTGGTCTTGTCCCAAAGTCCAGTCAACTCGTCCTCATCAACAAAGGCTAAATGGTCGTTAATCCAGGCGCCAAACTCCGTGTTAGTGAATGAAAACGATTAACACACAACTCACTACTGATGAGTTTCGAACATTTCTTGAACAGTGCTTCTCTGACGACCTCTGTTCATATCGCATCTATGTATATGCTTCACCCGTGTACTTCTAATACAAATAAACGCCAACAGAACCTAAATACCTAACTTACCCTAAGCTGTGTCAAACTATTCCTAGAACTTTAATTTAAAATAACATTAATTTATATATAGTAACAAACTTATTACTACTATACAACACATTAAAATTGATACATGCATCATGGAGGACTGCTGCAGCTTTAACGAGCCTACCCTGAGAACAGGTTGAGTGAGGAGAAACCCATTGTAACGTTCACTGGGAACTCTAAGATAAATAATGAGTGTTCTGAAACTACGTAATAAACGACGTTCCTACACAGCGAGAGGGAACGTGACTGGTAGACGGGAGATAACCGCCCCATGTCCCGTTAACTCAAACAACCTCGGGAAAGATGGGAAGTAGAGGGTGGGAACAGGAACTGAGAAAATCCTTATAACGGGGAATTTATTTTTTAAGTAATGTCTCTCGGTTATTTACCTGAGCCGACAAGGTGTTGGCCCGCGGTAGTAACAGAAGGCAGATGAGACCCAGTGGAAGGTGGACTGGAGGCATCACACACATGATATCTGACTGAAGAGGGACTCACCTGTAGAATGAGCGTTGCAGGACTGGCGGAGAATATGAGGATCAGAGGGCAGAATGGGGCTCGTGGATAGAAGTCTGCAACCGTTGCTAATGTGCGCAGAGCATGAACAAAAAAGCCTAACATGAAGCTGGCCAAAAGTGACCATCCGCAGTAACAACAGCGGGATATGAACCTGGGAATTTGAGAGGAGTCTGAGGATTAATACATTGAATAGAAGTACGAGTCACGAAAGACATAAACAAACAGAAAGTAGACAACAGCTGGACACAAGGCATGAAGAAGTACCAGAAGAACAGACCCAACCCAGCAGACAACGGTCAGGAGCATCAGTTATTGTCGCTCGCCCGGGACAACGATCCTCTGCTTTGTTTGCCTCAGAATTAATTATTTTCTTTCCTAATAATATTAATAATTATTAATATTAATAATTATTAATTATTATTAATAATTATTAATTAATAATAATAATAATTAATTATTATTAATAATTATTAATTATTATTAATAATTAAAATAATTATTAATTATTTCTTGTTTTTTTCCGGAGAATGGAAGTTCCCCAATCTGTGGCGTTGATGGAGAATTCAGTCCGTTTGTCGTTTGATGTGTCTGGCCTTTTGTTTCCAGACCAAAGCACACATACATCTTCAGGGGGGGGGAAGAGGGTATATTTTCTCTCCAGCTCATTTTGAGCGTGATGCTTCCTGGAGTCCACATCGAGTCCCGTTTATTGATCATAAACATAAAGGTCCTCAAGTGAAAGAGGTAACTTTACCCCCACACCTCGGCCTCTTTTATTACAGTGGAGTCCCGAATCAGGTCTTCAGTGACCTCGTCCTGTCTTGTGTGGTGGTCATCTTGGCTCCACTCTTAAATACCTGTACTTCCTTTACGAACAACAGCTCATTCTGGCCAACTTTAAGGAGCACACAAACCTGGCAGATGGAATTAGGATTTTACCTGCCAGGAACTCATCTCACAGCTTCTGACCAAGTGTGTTAAGCTTAGGCAGTGTGCCTAATCCTTCCCCAACCTGTTTTCTCTGATCCCTGTAATGCGGTAGCCAGCTTCTAAGCTGTTCGTGCATATCAGTTCCAGGAGTCCTTCCTAAATATTGTTGCTGTTGTTTTCATCTATTTCTGCCCTTCTCTTTCCCGATTAGGAGGTGCGGCACGTGATGCGTGAATGTCTTTTACTCATTGTCTGGCGGAAATATGGAGCTCTCGTTCTAGAAAAGGAGCTTGTGGATGTTACTCTCTAACACACCAGACATTATAGCTATAATTCACTCCCTGAAAATCAAAGTTGGCAACTTATGAAATATTATTTCTCTGTTTTAAAACATTTCCTGGATGGACGTGAAACACCAACCATGATACACAGAAGTGCTGTTTATGTCCATGCACCAGCCGAGCATACATTAACTAGGTAACATACATACTGTTACCTAGCAGTAAATAGCTACCTGGGAGTTAGTCAAGTGTCACGGGCTGCTTCCTAGGGGTGGAGGCCTGGTCGAGGACCGGGCCGCAGGGACACTAAGCCCCGAAATCATAACAAGATAACCTCAAGATAGCCATAGCTCTGCTTTTCAACAAATATCTTGTATTTCAAACTTTTAACTGAAATACTAAACAAGAAACATAAGTAACTCCAGTTCATAAAGGAGGTAATAAAGCTGACATCAATAATTACAGTACAATCTGAATCCAACCAATATTACAAACCATATTTGAAAAGATTATAGACAAACAGCTCTACCCCATACCTTGTAAAATTCAACATACTAAGTTCCAGCCAGTTTGGCTTTAGCTCTCCAAAAGAGTACTAATGATGCCATTATTAATTTGTTCGACTTAATCTTCATAATTCATGACATAAATTAGTTCCTAATAACCTCTTCATTGGTTATTACCAGACCTTTGATTCTTGTAATAACAATAACTTCCTACTGAAACTTCATCACTGTGTAATTCGAAGCCTTGCTCTGAACTATATCCTTTCATATTTTAAAAACAGATATTAACACCTAGTCATCAATGATGTAACCTCTCCCACTCCTATCATCAACCAGAGAAGTGCCACAGTGCAGCATCTTAATCAGGACCTCTTCTTAGATACATCAATGACTTGCCATAAGTTTCTAATGTTTATTAAATTTATATTATTTGCTGACGAAACTTTCATCTTTCCAAATCCCAAACCACACGCATTAAATAATACTGTAAATGTAGTTAAAAAAAAGTCCTCTCGTGGATGTCAAGCAACACCCTCACACTAAACATTGGTAAGACCTACTGCGTTTTATTTGGAAATAAATAATTGAACCAAATTCACCTTCAGATAGACACTGTCCACATAGGTAGTAAACCTAAGAGAACATTCTTAGTCCTATGCATATAAAAGAGACATAGTTTCAGTATTCACAAAGAGCACATAACCAAAAAAAGTATCTAAAAGTGTTGGTATACTTAAAAATTTCAGATACTATTTCCCCCACCCTACTTTTCCCACACTATACTACTCACTAATCTATCCCTATCTAACTTATTGTTGAGTATGAGGCTAAACCACCGCAAACTACCTCAAGCCCATCATCCAGCAAAAATATAAAATCACTATAACAAATTCCATCTTCAGACAACACATACCTCAGCTCCTCTGTTCAGATCCATAGACATGGTAAACATATACTTACTACACACATTCTTTTGTGCTATTTACACATACAAAGTATTATTCCTCTATTTTAATCCTGTTTTGAAACTCTTCCTAGATGGATGTAACAACCCACGAACATCTCACCAGAAACAATTATCTTTCTGATATTCTAATAGTCAGACTAACTATCCAACACGCCGTGTAAATAAAAGGTCCCAATATATGGAACGCCCTTCCTAAAAACGTAAAAAATATCAAACTTTACTCAATTCAAAAGTAGAGCATTGAAGTATCTAATTTCATCACCATAGTATCCCACTTTAGGAAGAAACTCATCAGTATTTAACTATCTAGAAGTACAACTGCACCAATATATTTTCTTATTACCATCCCTTTATATTAATATAGAGTGTATGTGAACTAAACTTCGGTCATTATATACCTGGCATTACAATACAATTTTATTCAAGGTTAACTGTTTCCTCTTCTAATTTGACAATCACTACAAATTCTGAGTTAGCCTTAAGGGCGGCTTGAAGCTCTACCCGTGTCAAAGACTCTGCAAAATTGTCCACTTAATTACCGACATGTGCAATGCTTGTGGGAACCGACCTGTGAGATTTATATTTATTTAATTTATATGAATTTATATTTACGTTAATTTATATACTTCGATAGCAATTTGTATAATGATAAGTGGACTGTATTTCTGCAATAATCTCATAATCTCACAAATCGATCCTCTACAC